CCGATATTGCATTTTATTGATTCTAATTGTAAACTTGACGGGATACCCGGGCAACCCGGATATGTTTCTGTCTTCTGTCTGTATGTCTCTAGCTCGCTCATTCTCCCTCCCTCTCTCTCTCCCCCTCTGTCTTGCTGTATTTTTCTGTTTGTCTTTGTTTCTGTCTTCGTGTGTGTGTGTGTGTGTGTGTGTGTGTGTGTGTGTGTGTGTGTGTGTGTGTGTGTGTGTGTGTGTGTGTGTGTGTGTGTGTGTGTCCAAACCCTATGAACAAAAGAAAGTATCAGGAAATAAAGCCCATGATGTCATTATAATTCCATCAGCTTATTACAGGATAAGTAGGACAAGTAAAAGGCTTTTGAATTTTGGCATTATCAGCATATAATGTTTTACGACATATTACGAATTACTTTTTTTCAGAGTCGAGCCAAAGTACGAGGGGCTAAAGCCGTCATGGGGTTCGCTATTACACCGTGCTAGGCTGTAGTCGTTTCAATGATGCCAACCCTGACCCACCCACGTTGAGCACCTTATCCCACAACAATCCGTGCAAAATTGGGTGAGGCTATCCTTACGTGTTTGGCCCCTAATTGGTTGCATATATGGCTGTGTTTTTTAATATGCGCTTAACTGTGAAGTTTTCTGTATTGTAATTTATCCCAACCACCAGGCGCCCAGTTATCACAGTACACACCTAGTTGTGCATACGGGGGTTCAGCTTCGGCTCTTTGGTCCCGCCTCTCAACTGTCAATCAACGGTAGAGGTGTACTACAGCGTGGTGTTGTCCGACACTGACCTTCGCCACTTCTCAGTGCCTCCTTCCCCATTACAAGATGGTCGTGGGCAATATCGTCAGTTCCCTATTTTAGGATTTATTATGCATACGTTGTTACATTTATCTTGCTATTTTGTTTGAGGTTGTATCTATAACAGGATATTAGTGGGTGCATCTTAATTGTTAAGTGGCCAGATGCTGGTTTTTGCATTTTTTTATGGTATGCAGGCGATGAGTCACAATAACGTGGCTAAAGTATGATGACCAGACCACACACTAGAATGTGAAGGGACGAAGACGTTTCGGTCCGTCCTGGACCATTCTCAAGTCGATTATCACAATCGACTTGAGAATGGTCCAGGACGGATCGAAACCTCGTCGTCCCTTCACATTCTAGTGTGTGGTCTGGTCATCTTTTTATAGTATCTTATTCGTTATTAGTTATTCCTATGTGGCTTGGTATTTAACAAAATTGTAACCATTTGATTTCTGTTGGAGATTATATATTATATATTACTATATAATATCTATAATGTGCAATGGATCTGTGTGTTCTGTACAAAGGTTTCAACGATCTAGTTCATATATTAGTGTTAAATCTTTGTGAAGGGTAAAATCTTGCCACCTTTCAAGGGCGAAAACTGTCAGTTTTGTAATTTACTAAATTTAAAAAGGAGATATCTCAAGGGTAGAAATAAAGAAAGATATTCTCCGTGTTTTGAACTGACTTCAAATTATTTGTATCTGTTGGTATTCTTAGTTTGTTGGTGTTTTTTGGTTTAAAATGACAGTACTCTTGGTAAGTGTGTGGTTAATAGTACCAATATGTAGTAATGGTGCCGCCAGTAAGCCACTTTTTGGACTATTTTGGACAGTCCGGAAAAAAAATAAGTTGAAAACCAAACGTAACCCTGGAAACACAAACCGAAACTGTCTCTATTTTCCGCTTGTTACAACTTGTAATAAAGTTGTTACATCTTGGCTTAACGTGTTTATGACGTATTAGAACGTTGTTACAACTTGCTATATTGGTTGTTATAACAGGTTAGGAGGTGTTAAAACTTGTTCGAACGTTGTACCAACGTCGTTGTTTCGGTGTGTGTTTGGCGGGAATATTCTTAAGCCTAGTATATCACATATGTACTATATTAGGCCTAAGATGGCTAGGTTAGGTCTTGTTAACAACGTAAATATAAAACCTATTCCGGTTCGTCTAAATTCAATATTACAAAAGGTCAACTGTCTGATGATCCACCACGACGTACTTGTACTGTCAACCACCTCGGTACTACGAATACTGTCAGTGTAGGAGGCCCGGGCTGTCTCTCCTGCACCACCGGGTACAACACTATAGCCGGGCTGTTAGAGGATGACACCAGACCATACTGGTCTCGACGTCTTCCAAGAAGTGTCACGCTTTTCCTCTCCGTTTAACTGCATATTTTGTTTTAACGCATACATTACATGTTATTCTAATCTTGCTTTCACAATTGTCATACATTAACCTGTTCATTATAAACACACAACTGTCGTTGGGGCAAACACGACCTTATAGATGCCACACCTCGAACAAAAGTGAACAAAGTGGTACTGTAAACAAAACCACGAACTTAAAAATACTGACAAATAAACTGTTTTTTTTTTTTAAAACTCTTATGATATCCAGTGCAGTGATATTCCAGCGTGTTATTCCACGTTCATGCCGCTTAAAATCTTCCGCATTAACGTCCATCTCTCCTGTAACTGACCGTAGATACGTGAGGCTCTCTGAGGTCTCTCAACACGCAGTTAATATCAGCAAGACACGTAATACCATTTCTGAATTCATTATGTGTATCCCAGGCGTCAGTGTCCGCACTATGAATCGAGGTTAGCAATATAGCCTTTTATCGAGTTTATTTACCTCGAGTAAATTTTATTTTATAGAGTTTAATTAAAATAAAAATTATTATCACATTTAGATACATCTGCATTTGTGCAGCTACCCTACACTATATGAAGGGGAGTACAGCGTGTCAAAAAGCTAGCTATGTGATGCTAAAAATCCCCATTACACAGGCTGGTTAGTCATACAGAGGCATGTGATCAGTAGCCTACACTGGCAAATTTTGAGTGCAATATGAGGATATCCTCAAGAACACGAGAGTGAATAAAGTAATAACAAAGCTCCAGGTACCTCAGTCCAACGGGTCTGAAAGGTCTAATAACTGGGCATTCGGTGATGTAATGTGGGAGATCATGCCGCAGTTCCTGCTCACAGAGTTTGCACCTGGAGTGCTCAGGATTGGGAGATCCGTCACCTGTAGCCACCTGCTACAGGTAACGGTAACCCAACCTGATCCTGGCAACCACTGTGTCGCACAGTCTGGTGGACGTTTTGTGCTGTCCATAGATATAGGTTTCAGATCTGAAAAAAATCATAGCTTTTTATACTTGTGCTTTCAGGTCGTTGGGAGTCAGTAATTTCTCTCCTATCAGACCCGAGTGTTTGGAACAATATAGTCTTGACAGCAGAGATGGGGATACCTAGATCTCAAGACGTGTGTGATGAGGGGGAGAGGTTGACGAACACGACCCTTGCGAAGGAGACCACCACACCTCCAGTCAGTGACCGGTCGTCTAAGGGGTGGGAAGGGACCCTGGTCAGGAAGCTCCACCACAGTCAGGGGCCAACAGGGGATTGGCACGCGAGGTGTTGCTCTATCCCCTTTATCATGCTCACCACCTCTGCAGAGCCTCCCTCCTCCCTCTGCTCTTCCTCCTCCTCTTCCCCTGCTGCTGTCGCCCCCCCCCCCCCACCCACGTCCCCCTGCACCTGTCGTCCCCCCCCCCCACCCACGTCCCCCGGCATCTGTCGTCTCCCTGCTGCTGCCGTCCCCCTGCATCTGTCATCCCCCCACCCACGTCCCCCTGCTGCTGTCGTCCCCCCACCCACGTCCCCCTGCACCTTTCGTCCCCCCACCCACGTCCCCCTGCTGCTCTTCCTGCTGCCAACGACGCCAATGATCCTTCAAGTGTTGGTACCTGACCATCGGGTCCCTGGAGTTACTAGTGCCTGTGGTAGACAGCTGAGACCACATACATTATGCCGCCATCCATGTTCACCTCGCGCTCTCTGTTCCATGGGACGCTCCAGCGTCATCCTCTGCGTGACCAGTGACGTATGCAAGAGCTGGTCCCTGGACCTCCCAGAATTAATGTTGTGCAGGTACTTTCCTGGCATCAAACACTGCACCTGATTCACATCTTAACGTTTCCTTTCTTGGACCATTCCTCCGTGTCTAGCACTGAACTACCAGTCAATACTGGTATAAAGTTGGACTGGGAACGGTCTTGGATTTTGCTCCCATACTTCAGTGTTTCTAACAGTACTTTTTGATGCTGAACTGTCGACCATATTCCTAGCGATGAGTAATTTGTACATTCTAGTATTGCAAGCTTAACATCTATAGTCAAAGTGTACCACATAAACTAGAAGCGTGTAAGCGTGTAATAATGTCCACCCCCCCCCCTCCCCCTCCCGTACGGATACTGCAAATATTAGTTAACATTACCCAAGTGCAGCAACAACCATTACAGTTTGTCGAGTCCCAGAGCATGTTAACATACTGGGGACAAGGGTCCCACGGGGTAGCTAGCACTCCTGCCAATTAACTCTACGTACTTTATAGCGAGATTCACGCAGAGATTAACGGCCTTGAGACACCTTCGAGGGACCAAACGAGCTCCGAGAGGGTCACTGGCCATTTGCCAATCCCTGCAACACATCTAACATGCAAGATGTTGAGAAACAGATCTTGAGACTGCTTGGTATTGGTTGCGCGAGACCGACTCATAGCTATTGCCTCATTAGAGAAACACTCATACTCTGTGGTGCGTCTCTCGCCCCACTGAGTGCAGCCACTGCTCGCCACGTGTCCTACACTGGGCGACCTTTAGTATACACATGTGGGTGAGAGTCGGACATGACCGAGACATACCTGGGGGGTTCTTGGTGCTTGAGGCTCGTGGGGGCCGCCAGTGGTCAGCGCTACACCACACAACCCGTGTACATGCTCATGCCCATCACCATCTGGCTCACCATGTCCTTAAAACTTCTGCAGCCTCAAGTCCACCCAAATTTTAAAGTTTTTTGTTTTTTGCACTTCATCACTATATGTGTACAGTTGACTGTCCTCTCTAGGTATGTTAAATCTTAAATGAGTAAAGACCCAAATTGACACTTACCTGAGGTAGGGGCTCTCCGTTCGGTGCCTCGAGGGGCGGTGCGGGCTGGGGCGGGGAGTAGCGGTAGTGAGGGGGCCGGACTGGCTGTCCCGTGGGCGCCTCCAGTGACCGCACTAGTGACGCCATGTCTGTCCGCCCGTCCGCAGACCGACAGATGTTGCAGAGAGAGTCGTATCTCCGGCTCTGCTCCAGGGCCTGCGGGGGAGGGAGGTCACGGATTGTTATGTGCTGCTGGGAGAGCCAGGGTTACGGAGGGGCGGGGGCGGGGGCGAGGTGTGAGGAGATGATGGCAGGTGCTGAAGAGAAATTGCGAGGCCCGGACGAGCCCCTGGGAGAATGTGCAGGGACGGCGAGTGGAGGCCCTCATAATGACTGACAATGAAAGGGTGCTTGTGAGGAATATTGATGAGGGAGTCTGTTGACCAAGTGAGGAGGATCTGCTGAGAAATATATGAGAGGGAATCTGGTCAAAAAGTTGAAAGAGTGAAAGGAAATTATGAGGAGAAAGCACTAAGCTAATATCACAATACAACACTAGGAAAGAATATGAGGACAAGGAGCTGGGATATAAAGAAAGGATGCAGGAATGAGAAAGATGATGATATGAACTAAGAATAAAGGATAAACATAAAAATAACCAAAGAAACTGTTGAATGTTTGCTGGTCCACGCCAGGAAACTCCTGTTTAATCCCAACCAAACTCATTCACACTAGTCTAACCATCTCTTCAAACCGTCCAGAGATCCCTATAGCCAGCTATGTTACCAGGTAATTGGTTCCCTTAATCAACAATCCAATTTCCAAACCAAAACGTACTAAAGTTTTTTTCTGAATTTAAACTTTGGCATTTTGTATCCATTATTCTGTTTTGAGTTGAAATCATTTTAAAGACCTGAATACAAAGGGGGAAATCATCCCCCTAAGGTATATGCTTTCTTCTGCAAGCTTCAATAATATCACCCCTTTGCTCTGCCTCCTTAGAGACTGTAAATTAGGCTTCCTTAATACTTCCTCATAATGGAGGTCCTACGTCCCGCTAATTAACTTCAGTAATTTTTATCTTTTCAGGTGAAATGATGTTATTTCAGGAGCACGGTGACCAAACCCGTGTATCATCTTAATTAGGCCTAGCAGGGGCAAGATATGTATTCTTGTATCTTACACGCTTTATTCCATAGTGATTCGTAGGTCCGGGTCGTGCACAGGGCCCCCCGTGGTCTCCCAGGTCGTACACAGGGCCCCCCATGGCCTCCCAGGTCGTGCACAGTGACCCCCATGGCCTCCCAGGTCGTGCACAGGGCCCCCCATGATCTCCCAGGTCGTACACAGGGACCCCCATGATCTCCCAGGTCGTACACAGGGACCCCCATGGTCTCCCAGGTCGTGCACAGGGCCCCCCATGGTCTCCCAGGTCGTGCACAGGGACCCCCATGGTCTCCCAGGTCGTGCATAGGGTCCCCCATGGTCTCCCAGGTCGTGCACAGGGCCCCCATGGTCTCCCAGGTCGTGCATAGGGTCTCCCAGGTCGTGCACAGGGCCCCCATGGTCTCCCAGGTCGTGCATAGGGTCCCCCATGGTCTCCCAGGTCGTGCACAGGGCCCCCCATGGTCTCCCAGGTCGTGCACAGGGCCCCCCATGGTCTCCCAGGTCGTAATGTGGCGGTGACCTCGTTCAGAGGTGGACATCTTGTTAATAATGACCTCGTTCAGAGGCGGGCACCTCGTTAACGGGGACCTGGTCCAGAGGATGCGACTTCGTTAAACAGGGCGACAGATAAACAAGCCATCATCCTACTTATATAGTGGCTGTGGGTGTTTTGGTAAATATGTGGACTGTCGTACATACATAGACGTAATGAACAATTGTAGAATTTAGTACTATTCACTTTACAGTCCTAAACAATAAAGCTAAAAATCAAGCTTAAATATTCCTAGGCCTAGTATAGCACATATATGTACTATATTAGGACTCAAATGGCGTGTAGGCCTAGGAAGATAAAGTTTGGCTACGTTTTTCTTTGCAACATCAGCACAAAAGCTTTTCCGACAGAACAAATCCACAAGGGCTGTGACGAGGATTCGAACCTGCGTCTAGGAGCCTCCCAGACACTGCCTTAATCGACTGAGCTACGACAGGGTTAAAAAAAAAGAGTTGAAACCGAAGTTCTACTGAACTTATTGGATCCCGTAGCCTCTCCGAGGCACAAACCAGGATTTTACACAACTCCCCCCTGCACCCGAGTTATGTCAACAGGCCGTTCTCCCTCTTCGCCCTTTTTTCAAACCGGAAAAAAGCTTTTCCTGTCTGACCAAATTCAGTACCGATTTCTACTTTCGTATTGCCTTTTACTTCAAGGTATGTACGATGGTCGTCATCGTTACTGTAACTACTACCTAAACAGGAGGATGAGCCGAGATATTAGGATATCGTAACCCAACAGTTGGGTAATTACCGAGGATGGCAGACAAAGATGGCGACTCGTTAAACAATAATCAAGTTAGAAATGAAAGCATCGATAAAATAGCATAGTGATGGAGAGGGCCAGGGTGATGGAGAGGGTCCAGGGTGATGGAGAGGGTTCAGGGTGATGGAGAGGGTGGAGGAGGTCGACAGGGACAGGAGCAGGTGGAGTAGGTCGACAGGGACAGAAGCAGGTGGAGTAGGTCGACAGGGACAGGAGCAGGTGGAGGAGGTCGACAGGGACAGGAGCAGGTGGAGGAGGTCGACAGGGACAGGAGCAGGTGGAGGAGGTCGACAGGGACAGGAGCAGGTGGAGGAGGTCGACAGGGACAGGAGCAGGTGGAGGAGATGGACATGGACTTAGGGTAGCAGGAGAGGGGGTCGACCTGGCCAGATAAAAGTCAATAACGCAGCCAGCGATAGGAAGCAGTAGACTACAGGGACTACACTCACTACACTACACTCACATATATTGTGTATCCCAAACAAAATCTAAATCTATCTAAATTACGTAAATGTAAAATATTCCACACTCCCCTGAATAAAAATCCAATTCCTCACAAAGTGGATACACACACACACATATATATATATATATATATATATATATATATATATATATATATATATATATATATATATATATATATATATATATATATATATATATATATATTTTTGGCCCTTTGGGGTTCAGGATTATGCATCCAAAATCCTATGGCGGATTTGGAGGGAAGAAGAGGTTGTTGGAGGCGAAGAGGTACCACAACAGACCTGTTGGGTACATCGCCTTTATATCTGCACCGCGGGGCAGAGACCCACACTCCGGCCCAGCAGCGTGTCACTGATGCCTCCTATTAGCGTTACGAGTCAAAAACATAACATAACTTTTGACTAAGAAGCATTGTTGATGCACGTAATTGTGTTCCTGGACGGTATGAGGAATGTATGTCCCGAGAACGGCTCATGCTTGGAGAGTGCGATCGTTTTAGTTGCCGCTGAGGAAGAGTATGATCAAAATTCCCTGCTATCTTATAACACTCAATAACATGATAAAGTATTCCTATAATATCAACAAATGAAAAGCTCGTACGTGATTTGTGCGCTACGGAAGGTACCAAAGATTCTGGGCGACACCATTCTCTCTGGTTAAAGCGTTCATAGAAAACTGAGACCATCAAAGAAAATGTTGTATATATGTTGGTAAACTTTAGGAATTGTGGAATTCATGTCTAATTTGTTTTTAATGTGTTAACCTGTATATTATAATGTGCTGGGATAAGCCACGAGGCTCGTACATGGTCTGTAGTAGACAAGCCAACCAAATACAACTATGCTTACCTGACTAGCAACGGGTTTAAAAAAACACAGGTCATTCTCAATGCATTCGGACACATGACCTATATTTTCCTGGCCAGCACACCATGACGCGTTAACATTACTAACACAAACCTGGCCAGCAACACATTCACCACCGGCAACACACACCTCCCCCCCGAACACAAACAGATCCACAGCCCAGCACCGGGTCTACATCCCAGTAAACACAAGCAACACTGACCTTAGCAGCAACGATGTCGGCTCCCTGCAGGATACAGTCGGCCACAATGCTGCTCACGTCAAGGTAGACCGTCTCCAGCTCCTGCAACACACACACATAACTGATGATATACTGTCTCATTGGATGACGGGTTAATGCAATAACAAATAGGTAATATTAACCATAGTCCGGGACACGAAGCCTGTTTGGTTTATCGAAGTCCCATGCCCCCACGCCAAAGAAAACTACCAACATTCCCCAGGATCCAACCCACAACAGTTGCCTGTACCAAGAAGGCAGGAATTCAACGGGACTCCTGGTTCAACCTTAACGACGAGCGGACGTCTGGCAGCCCGTCCTCCAAACGAAGACCCAAAAGTGATTCGATGTACACGCATGGAATGAATTCCCCATTTATGAATGAAAAACGGTGTACACACGACTCACAAGTGATTTCGTTCGAACACTTCCGGAACAAGTGCTTCATTGACGAATTTGTTCGAACCACAACGCTCTTCACCCACGTTCTACAAATACAAATAATCGCCAACAGAACCTAAACACCTAACCTAACCTACCCTATGCCTATATATGCACAATATGCTAATATAATATTAATTTATATTTGAGAAAATTCCCGTTTTGAATGAACAGTATATAAATGTTTATGAATGCGTCAGTGGGGTCGACCGCTGGATGTAATGGGCTTGAGTCGAGGACGGGTTGCGTCTGGACACCTCCTCCGCTTGGGAGCCGCCGGATCACGTTCTGTTTTCGTGTTTTGGATTTGATATTGCCGTTTGGCATCCGTATTTAACGGTCCAGTTAAATACGGCTGGCTTCTGCTTCGTCGTTGTACGACGCCTGACGCACATATATCGCCTTGGGTCACGGGATTTATTGGTAAATTTTAGAGTTGGTAGATTTTTTGACGTGTTCTGGCTGGTTATCCCGGCGGGGTGACGGTGTCCGGCGCCGGCTTGGCCGAGAGGTACCGGGAGTTGGTGGGTCTTGATGGGCTCCAGGTGTGCCCTCGGCCGTGGTGGGCGGCTGGCTTCTGCTCTGCCGGAGGGTACTGGCGGATGACTTTTGCGTTTTAGCTGGGGGCCGAGTTTTTGGTTTTGCTACCCAGTATTCTCTGTGTGGGGCGGGGCCGGTGCTCGTCACCCTGAGGGACTCCTGGGGCTCCACAATCATCTGCCTGTCTGCGTTTCTTTGCCGCGAGCCATATTAGTTTTCAATGATTGGCATCACTTATTTCGCGATTAGGCTTGGCGTTTCATTTTCCCGGGCTTCGCGATTAACCCTTCACAGGTACGCCGGGACGCATCCGATCCCACGATCGTCGTCGCCCCTAAATCAACAACAACAGGAATACAACTAATGGTTGAAAAAAATGTGAAAACATTCGATTTACAATCATCTCAGCAAATCAACATACATTATATTAAGTTATAATGAACCATAAACATTCACTGGTTATAAATCAGTGAACATTTCATGAGCACCGTTCCACGTCACATGAGTGTTTTGTGTGAGGACTGAGCATGTGTTTGTTTGGCCTGGGGTGGTGGGTGAGGCAAGGGAAGGCAACTATCGGGACAAAGCGCTAAGCCATCACGACTATATAGCACTTGGAAGGAATCAGGATAAGAATTTTGGGATGGGACGGGGGAAAGGAATGGTACCCAACCACTTGGACGGTCGGGGATTAAACGCCGACCTGCATGAATCGAGACCGTCTCTCTACCGTCCAGTCATCAGTCAATCCCTCCTCTCTCCAGATCATCTTCATTCTCTCCATCTCTACTCTCACTCGCTCTCACACGTACATCTGCTTCTCCTCATCACTCTCATGGCCGATACTGTCCTCTGGATGTAGTCAAACCCTCTTGACCCGGTTTAAACCGCAAAATCCACTCGAACCCGGACTGGTCATTAATTCCGGGACCTTGACCACACCAGCGTGCTCGCCCCCCCCCCCTCATTATCCCAAACCATCAGCTGTCAGTCACGAAGTTGACTAGAACAATAGACACCCTTACACTTCTTACACAATAACAAAAGAAAAAAGTGTTACAAAGGAATTGTTGGAAACCTACCAGCAGAAATTTGATTTAAAAACCTCTTTGGGATTACAGCAACATTCAGCGATGATTTCAAGCGTTTTTACTCATGAAAGCACATGACAAATATATTTTATATAATAATCAATGGATTTCACAGACTTTGAGCGCAGGAGAGGTGGCTTTTGGTCTTCTAGCGTGGCATGCCTTATCTCTCCAGTGACTGCTCACCCCCGCTTATATTTCAGAGACTTATCTTTTGATCACACTAGTTACTGCTTCCTCGCCGTCTCTCTCTCTCTTCTTGTCTCGAACATCACAGGTCGTCGTTGTCCACGTCTCTGCTTCTCCCTCATTATCACATGTTGTCACTTCTTCAGTTGGCTTGCATCTCCTCCGACCATCTTGATCCAGTAAAACTACTTAGGCAGTGATTTCACGATTCTTCATAGTTTTTCGCAATTTTCATCGTCTTTCACTGTATTTCAACCAATCAAATTGTACCAAGTTCTTTCAACTTCTTTCATAGTCTTTCAGTGTTTCATAGCCTATTTGGCGCCCTGCATCGTAAGTAAATTTTCTTAATCAGCTATTTTTAACTTTCTTTGTGGCTTACCCTAAAGGTAATCCTTTCACCTCAGCTGGTCAAAACATGGCCAGCTGTTGACTTCTCCACCAGTCCATCCTCGCTTCTCTTTTTCCACAAATTTTCGCGCAGGTTCTCAATTCTTCATTCTCACTGATACCGCACCTTTATTCTCTCGTATATGCCTCCAATATATATCGTTATTAATACAGTGCACCACTACAAAGTAAACAAAATCTCTGAAACTTTAATCCTATTTCATGAGCCTTCCCTAATTTTATCTCCCTCAACCACGGGTGTTACTTCCTCTTTCCCTGTTCTCCTTACTTTTCCCTTCCATCCTTCCCTCTCTTCCTTCTTCCTTTCCTCCAGTTCTCCCATTCCCTTCCCCCTTCCAAATACCTCAACGTTCCGATCTCACTCAAAGGGTCCTTTTCTTTGACCCTTCCTCCTTTTAATATGGCTTTACCTGTTATCATGTCAGGGTCCCAAGTTAACCAGGTCATATGTAGCACTCTCAAGTCCTCTCATGAAGAGGTCAAGTGGCTAGTTTGCTTATTGTGTTTACAAGAGGTAAAATCGCATCTCTTTGATTTAAGAGAACACAAAAGTAGTTCGTGTATTTAGGTTCGTGTATTTATCTCAGAGATAAAAAGAGCTTGCCTTAATCGCTAGTGTATCAACTAATACTATCAACCACCTGCTCCTGGTGGGAGCATCAGAATTTCAGCTCATTGATACTGTAATTCGAACATAAGTGTGTGTACTCGCTAGCTAGGTATACATTATCAGGTTCCAGAGCTCCGACAGCTATGTATTGGGCAATTTGTCAATGCAGAAATAAGCTTCATCTCTTGGACCCCATCCTTTGAGCTGTCGGTTGTCTAATGCAATGATTTCAGACAAAAGTTTTGTTCGAAATCGTTGATGTAGTTGCCTTCTACTACCTCTTGGTCTCTTCCATTTCGTTTTTCAAATACTTTTACACTAAAAAAAAAAAATCCTCACATCTATTTAGTTTAACTCTGTCTACCTTCCTTTCATTTTCACTCATCCAACTTATATTTTGTCAACATTATGTGTGTCTGTTAGTTGGTTCGTCTTCAAGTATTTGTGTGTGTGTGTGTGTGTGTGTGTGTGTGTGTGTGTGTGTGTGTGTGTGTGTGTGTGTGTGTGTGTGTGTGTGTGTGTGTGTGTGTGTGTAGCATTATCAACACCTTCATACATACCATAATGTACTTCCAAATCCCTCATTCAGTAATATAAAACACGTTAGTGCCACACAGGACTGTTCATTAGTCCTACTCGATTGAATTTAATTACAAAGAGGAAACGGAGGGAGAACTCTGAAGGGAGTCATTTGAATAATTACATAATTGTCTTCAATAATTTGTAAACCTCAATCATGTTCCCCGCTTTCTGTCAATACTGAAAATGTAAATTCGGCTTTCTTAATTTCTCTTTATTAAGTTATAATCCCTGGGATTTACTCGACCATACTCCTGTGTGGGAGAATGTGTCACGGCCCTAGATAAGGAGTCGGCAGCGTTCAAGACATCTTTCCTAAGCTGTCTAAGGCAAATATTAAGGCAAAGTTTGAGGGCAATAATTTTCTATACTCTGTACTCTTCTCTCTACTTCTCTCTTTCTATAGTACTTTTCAGAGTACTATAGTACTCTGTACTATACTTTTCTATACGTTCTATACTCTGGAGGCATCAGCATGTAGCAAACAACACTTACCATCCAGGAACAAAGACTGGATTAATATCCAGTATTAGTTGATTAATATCAACTGGAAACAAGGGTAAAAATGACTGGGAGAGGGGAGAGGGGGGAAGGGGTGGAGCACAAGGAGCAATAATATGATTATTGATCAAAAGCAGAACCCGACCCGTCTTCCAGGATGAGGATCCGTCTCAGTCAATTTGGTTTGAACCGCTAAGTTGTACGTAATCCAGGACGTTACGATAAAAAAAATCGTTGCTGGGTCGAGCTGTAGTGTACTCCAATCAGCAGCGAGCCTGAGGCCACCAGCTAATTGAGAGAGCAAGCAACAATGACGTCATGGAATTGGTGTGTGTGTGTGTGTAAACGGTGACGTCACCACCCGCTGGTATACAAGCTCCAGTCGCCAGTGGAAAGTTAAGAGAGTAAAACTTCAGTCACAGCCCCGCTCCTGTGCCAGGTAAGTCCACTACGGGCTCACCATAGCCCGTGCTGGTTCTAACTTTTTGTTTCGTGTAGCTGAATCTAAAACAACAACAGTGGCCAGTAGTCAGACGGTGGTTGGCCGTCACTAGCAATACAGTACAAGGCAGTGCTATTTTGCAGTGGCACATGCAGTGCCAAGATATTTAATTCAGTGACTGTAAATACAAAGATAGTTTGCAAGACAATCGACTTGAGAATGGTCCAGGACGGACCGAAACGTCGTCGTCCCTTCACTT